AAAGTGGGAGTCTGTTTAAAAGGGCCTGCTGCCACTGACGTATGAGATACGTCCGTGGCAGCGAAAGGATGTCCTCGCCGATTAGACAGCTTTTCATTGTGCTGGCCGCGTCTGCTCATAAAAACCCCATAGACTTTTATCGGGCCTTCTCCCTTTATCTCCATCTTGGGACACCGTCTCATAGAAGTCTATGAGGCTGTAATGCACAAGGACAGTGACACTGCGGCGCTGGATGTTACCAAATAACAGTGGTCACAGCCGTTGAATCAAGGTAAGTATGCATCTGTGAAGGGGGAGGGGGAGTTTTATTAGACCAGGGTAAGGGGGAAAAAATGGATAAATGCAGTTTGTTTTAAAGGGCGTTTATCCTGATCTTTCCTATTGCTCAGATTAAGAGCGGCACAAGATAGTCTTATAATGATATAGGAAAAACTAGCACTCAGTGGTGGACCCTTTCGAAAGTTTATATTGCAATTCTGCTGATGCGGCCTTAATTATAGCTATGATTAGGGCCGTATAGGCTAAAACGGGTCAGCGTGATTTCTTAGGTGTTCAAAGTCTTATAATGATATAGGAAAAACAGGCACTCAGCTGCAGATCCTTTTTTGATTAAAAAGGCATACAAATCAGGACATGACAAATCACACTTTTCAGCCTATACGGCCTTACTCATAACTAAGATTAAGGCCGCATAGGCTGAAACGGGTCAGTGCGATTGTCATGTCTGGATTTGTATGCCCTTTTATTCAAAAAAGGATCTGCAGCCGAGTGCCTGTTTTTCCTATATCATTAGAAGACTTTGAACACCTAAGAAATCACGCTGACCCGTTTTAGCCTGTACGGCCCTAAACATAGCTATAATTAAGGCCGTACAGGCTGAAGCGCATCAGCAGAATTTCAATATAAACTTTCGAAAGGGTCCTCCACTGAGTGCTAGTTTTTCCTATATCATTATAAGACTCTCTACACCTGACCAATCACGTTGACGTGTTTCAACCTATAGGGCCTTAATAACCTATAATTAAGGACGTATAGGCCGAAACCTGTCAGCGGGATTGTCATGACTGAATTTGTATTCCCTGTTAACCAATAAAATTTCATAAGGATTGGCAGCCAAGAGGTGGTTCTTCCCATACCGCTGTGCCTTCTGTTGGCGGACAGGAGCGGTTACTGAGCGGCAGTGTTCCATAGAAGCCAAAGAACGGCAAGGAGGTAGACCACTTTCTTTGCATATACAAATTGTTCATAAGAAAGCAGCCACAGCCTGGGAAGAAAAGCCTGTCTGCTGCCAGCATGCTTTGGTGAAGGACCCTTGCTCTCTGTGTGGAAGCAGTGGTCTCTTTGCAGAGGTCCAACACGCCCCCTGCAGAGTCAGAGCTCTCCAAATCAGCAATTTGTTGAGAATCCAGCTTGGCCGATTGCAGAGCTACAAGCCTGGACTCAGCAGGGGACATGACTCTCATTTGACACTTTAGACTACTCCGGAGGAACCTTTGGGGTACCCTGGCTGACAGAGAGCCACCTCCATATTAGAACTTAAGTTTTATTTTGCCCTCTTGGGTCCAGCGCTCTACTAACACCTCTATCAGTGGAGCTAACACTAGGCCTTCCTGTGAGACAGCCCATAGGTGACTAGGGAGGCAAAGAAGGCAAGTCTTGGAGGCAGGAGCAGCAGTGGGTTATCAAGAGAACCTGACACTTTGCCTATTCAGATTCACTAAAAATCAGGAAAGCTAAGACATGAAATACCATCACCACACAACATAATACACGGAACATACACAGGATAACAGAGCTCAAATCCATTTTGGTATTAAACTCACGTTATGAAGTTCTCCAGATGCACCGCGGTTTCTATAATGTTGAGCGCGGTGGGTTTGGTGGCCTCGGCTTGCAGCTGTTTCATCTCCCTACGAAGGACGTGCAGCTGCTGGCTCACTACCTCTTCCATCTGCATCCCTTCAAACTGCAGAAAACAACAACTGGTTACAAGTTCTGTTAGCTCGGTAACTGGTAATGGTTGCCCCATCCAGACCCTCTGCCTACTAAATAGGATCCATCTGAATGGCAGACTGGTAATGGTTGCCCCATCCGGACCCTCTGCCTACTAAATAGGATCCATCTGAATGGCAGACTGGTAATGGTTGCCCCATCCGGACCCTCTGCCTACTAAATAGGATCCATCTGAATGGCAGACTGGTAATGGTTGCCCCATCCAGCAACCCTGCCAACTGAATAAGATCCATCTGAATGGCAGACTGGTAATGGTTGCCCCATCCAGACCCTCTGCCTACTAAATAGGATCCATCTGAATGGCAGACTGGTAATGGTTGCCCCATCCAGACCCCCTGCCTAACGAATATAGTATCCATCTGAATGGCAGACTGTTAATGGTTGCCCCATCCAGCAACCCTGCCAACTGAATAAGATCCATCTGAATGGCAGACTGGTAATGGTTGTCCCATCCAGCAACCCTGCCAACTGAATAAGATCCATCTGAATGGCAGACTGGTAATGGTTGTCCCATCCAGACCCCCTGCTACTGAAAAGGATCCATCTGAATGGCAGACTGGTAATGGTTACACCATCCAGACCCCCTGCCAGCTGAATAGGATCCATATGAATGGCAGACTGGTAATGGTTGCCCCTTCCAGACCCCCTGCTACTGAATAGGATCCATCTGAATGGCAGACTAGGTAATGGTTGCTCCATCCAGACCCCCTGCTACTGAATAGGATCCATCTGAATGGCAGACTGGTAATGGTTGCCCCAGCCAGACCCCCTGCCTACTGAATTGGATCCATCTGAATGGCAGACATCTAATGCCTCTTCACGGGTGGCTGAT